AATGGCCTGTGTCAACTCCATGCTGCCCAGCTGAGAGCGATTTTGCCCCCCGGGGAACCTTGGACAGACATTGGGCAACGACGGGGCATCTTTGGTTATCACCACGGGGAAGGGGCGAGGAGAACCACTGCACCAGCAGGCAGAGGCCAGCGGTGCCTCTAAACATCCTACATGCACAGGGCAGCTCCTCCCTCCAACCAGGCCGAATCTGAGACATGCTGTGAGGAGCCTGATCGCAGAGGCGCTCTCAGCCGGACTGGAGCGGGTGAGGTTTCCCTTAGGCAGAGACACTCCAGGTCGGGAGCCAGCCGGGCACAGACCCCAGAGGCTCAGAGTAGGGCAGGTACGACTGAGAAGGGGGTCAGACCGTCAAAGCCCATTTATTTCCCCAGGCGAAGGAGAGATGGACTTTATGTAGGAAGAGTTGGACTTTACTATTTAATTGGGGTCATTTGGCCCAGGGCAAATTCAAACAGCACAAATCTTTTAAAAAGTATTTTATTAATTTATTATTATTATTTTTTACAGAAAGGAAGAGAGAGGGATGGAGTTAGAAACATTAATGAGAGAGAAACATCAATCAGCTGCCACCTGAGCACCCCCTACTGGAGATGTGCCCTAAATCAAGGCACATGTCCTTGACCAGAATTGAACCTGGGACCCTCCACTGAGCCAAACGGGTTAGGGCAAACAGCACCAATCTAAATCGCTTTCTTATCTCTCACCCCTGACTGCCCAGTTCTCCCCAGAAGCACCCATGCCCAACCGGTTTCTTGGGTGCCCTTTCTAGACGGATCTCACATACGTACGGTGCATGCATTAGGGGTATTTTTAGCTGCTATCTTTTTTCTGATTGCAAATGCAATTCCCGTCCGCAGTGAACAAGTCCATCAACACAGAAATAGGAAACGTAGAGGGAGGGAGATGGACTAGAAGGCTGGGGACCGATTCTGAGGATCCCACAGTCCAGGTAGGTGACCATGGGCCTAGGCCAGAGCTCATGGGAGGGACAGAATAATGTTTAGGAAGGACGACCTCTAGGCAAGATGCCAAAGAAGGGAAAGGAAATAGAATTTGGTGGATCCCGTCCCCGCCCTCATAGAAGTGACTGTCCTTAGGGCGGCCAGGAGCTGGAAGGAGGAAGCAGTCAGCGGCACTACAGGCAGTGCCGCTGGCCTGAGGTGCTGTGAATCACGTCCCGGAGGCCTGGACACACCCCAGACACTGTCTGATTAGCAGCTCCATAGTCCAGAGTCTGAGTCAAGGCCACTGGCTCACAGGGCAATAGGTTAGGTCAGCTTCCTGTGGCCAACCTCAATAGGAACTGATAAGCGGGTAGGTCCAGCGGGTACCGGTTGCCTCCTGCGGCATTTGTGGCGAGATTCTTCCATGGTTACTGACCAGCGATGTCCAGTAGAAAGAGAAAACTCTATTGTTTTCCTTTATGCTCCTTGCAAGACTCCACGTCTGAAACCTCTGATCACCCAATGGGTGGGCTTTTCGCCACACCTAAGAATTCTCCCGCTCTCAGCAGACACCGAAAGGGTTTCCTGGGGGGAGGGGGGGTCTCATTCTTAAAGAACCAATATATACACATACGAAGCAAAGGTGGTCATTTTCTCCCGTAAATCTGTCTCATGTTAATTTGATTAGTAGTCCATCCAGAAAAACTGAAAAGGGTAGGAGGAAAAACTGTATTTGTCCACAATGACCCGTTATATGATAGTCAGAGATTTCCACACCCCCCTGGCTCGGGTTAGATGAATTTTCTAGAGTGGCTCAGAGAGCTCAGGACAGCAGTTTACTTACTAGGTTAGGAGTTTATCATCAAGAGAACACAATCCCGGAATGGCCAAGTGGAACTGATGCATACGCCATGGTATGTGGGAAGGGGCGAGGAGTATCCATGCTCTCTCCAGGATACCACCCTCCCAGCGCCTGCAAGTGTTCCCCAACCCGGAAGCCCTCTGAATCCCGTAACTGAAGGATGTGTATGGAGGCCTCATTACTGAGGCTTGATTGGCTAAATGATTGGTCGTTAGTGATCAAGCCAATGTGCGGCCCCTCTCTGCTCCCAGGAGGTAGAATTGGTAGGGCTGAAAGTTCCAACCCTCTAATCACATCACTGGTTTCTCTGGCAACCAGTTCCCATCCTTAGAGGCTTTCCAAAAGTCATTCCTTAACATCAATCCAGACGTAGTTGGAAGGGGCTGTGACCAGTAACAAAAGACACACCACTTTCATTTTTAGCTGAATAGCCCGGGAGCTATTCCAGGAACTAAGGTCAAAAGTAAAAATTACAACAAAAGATGTCCCTATGGTTCTTAAACAGAGAACTACAAGGATTTCAGGAGCTGTGTGTCAGGAACGGTGGACAAAGACCAGTTATATAGATTTCTTATTATAAACCACAGTATCACCAGGAGACATTTAATGTAGTTTTAGATTTTTTTAGTAGCCATATTTTAAAGCTGTGTTTTCCCCCTATATATAATAAAGCTATTCTTTAATTTATTTTAAAATTATATTTCTTTATTGATTTCAAAGAGAAGGGAGAGGGAGAGATAAAAACATCAACGATGAGCAAATCATTGATTGGTTGCCTCATGGATGCCCCCCTACTGGAAACTGAGTCTGCAACCCGGGCATGTGCCCTTGACCAGAATCAAACCTAGGACCCTTCAGTCTACAGGCCAATGCTCTATCCATATTTTAAATAGCAAAAAGAAACAGATGAACTTAATTGTAGTATATATTTCATTTTATTCAATTTATTCAAAAATGTTATCACTTTGTCTACATGAGAAATGTCCAAACTTGTAGAGAATTTTTTCTTAAAAAAAACAAACACTTTATTGTTGAAAGTATGACATATAACCAAAACCGGTTTGGCTCAGCGGTAGAGCATCGGTCTGCGGACTGAAAGGTCCCAGTTAGGAATTTTTGCTCAGATGACCTGAGGTTACTTTCCATTCTCTCCCCCCCCCCCTTTTTTTTAAGTTCACAACTTGAAAACACAGCCAATGCAAAGATATCAGTGAGGTCATTTACATACTTTTTTGGTCCTTAGTCTTACAGCACATCGCAATTTACACAAGGAGCTCCGAGGGCACATGTGACTGGTGGCTGCCATACCAGGAGCCCAGATTTGGGGCTTTCCCTTCTGTGACTGTGGCCATTGGAGACCTGTTCACTGCTGTATCCTAGTGCCTGGCACATAATGAGGCCCAGTCATCCGCGCCTGTGAGCTGGGGCGATCTCCCGGAGACTCCTGGAACTGTGGTGAAGGTTAAATGGAATGAGGTATGTTAAGTACCAGCTCAGGGACTCTTGTTACTGTTCTTCTCAAAGTCAATCGAAGGGCATCCGGCCCCAGCCTGCTTCCTGTTTTCCTCTTGAGAGCGCTCCTCTAACATTACAAACCAAAGGTTAGATTCCCGAGTTAGCGGAGCCCTGGGGATCAGGCCCGCGGGGGCCACCCAACAAAAGAGCGGGAACCTCTGTCCACGCCCTTGTTTTCTTTGCCCCTTGACAGCTGGAGGCCCCACCCACCCGGGCCCAGACAGGCTCCCGGCGGAACTACAACCCCCATGATGCAGCGGGAGCCCCGAGGCTTGCGTCATCGGCGTGGGACGCCCGGGCGGTGAAGGGGCGCGCTGACATGCCCCTCTGGGCGCTGAGCAGACGCACCCCTGCCCCCTAAAGAGTGGTGGGGTCCAATCAGTGGAGCTTCGAGTCCAACGACCCCCCCCCGGGCCAGAGCGGCCAGCCTGCGGCGATCGGTGACACACGCGTCCTTCCCCCTCCTCCCGCCTCCCCTCGGGCTGGCGCTTGCTGGTGACGTTGGGGGCCATGATGGCCGCCGTGAGGCCGGGAAGGTGAAGGTGAGAGGGCGAGCGCGCCGGGTGGTGGGGACGGGTGGGTCCGGCCCCGCTCGGCGAGTCTCGAGCAGCCCGGGGGGGAACGTTTGGAGCCCCGAGGCGGGATGCTGGGGGCCCGGGGGGTCCTGATCCGGCCGGGCGGGCGGGCGTCCCCACGCCCCGGTCTCGCCGCCGGGTCCGCCTCGGCCCTGCGGAGAGGGGCGGGTCTCGGGGTGGGGTCCCCTGACACCCCTCGTCACCCTAGGCTTCCCGGCCACATGTCACCCCCCTGCTCGGTCTCCTCATTCCCAGCCCTTTATCCTGGCCAGCATTTACTCCGCACGTGAGCAGCGCCCGCGATCTTCAGCGCAGCGCCCTGCGCTGCCCGCCCTGCCCTGCTTTGGGCACTTCCTACTCTCTCACACGGTTGTCTCTTTACTGGTTTGACTTCAAACACGATGGCAAGCTCCTGGAGGGCAGGGTCTGTGTTTTTTTTTTAAGCCATCCCTAATGCTAGGCCTGGCACACACAAAGAAGGCACGCAGAAAATGCCGAATAATAAGCTGTTTAGGTGCACAAGCCAAAACCTGCCCATTCCCCCCTCTCTTGTCATCCTTCACTGCCCTATTTCTTTAATTTCTCTTATCTTTTTTTGTTCCCTCCTCCCAGAAAGGGCTCAGATGATGGCCCGCCTATCTCTAGTTCTCAGTTCGGCGCCCTTAAGCCCTGTCCTCCTCCTGCTTCCTCCTCCGTTCCTCTCCCCACTCTGGATTTGCTCCTACCGGCGCCCCTCCCTCTCCCCAGCACATGGCTGACTCTCAGGCCAACACACAGGACTGCATGTATGTTTGTACACACCCAGGATTGGCCCCACGCCTGCGTGTTGTGTTTTTTCCTTGGGGCACTTCACATGTCACCCCGCACCCCGGTGAATAAGCAAGCTTCCCTCAGTGAGTCAGCTTCCCTCAGGGATGAGTTTGCTGAGCTTTATACCCGATTAGACATGCTTTGCGTACCAGTTGTTGTTGTGTTTTCCCCTCTGTCTGTTGACATGTCCCCTTTTCTTTCCAAAGTTGGAATTGGTGGAGTTAACACAACCAGTAGCCAACTTCAATCTGAGACTTGACCCAGGAGAACCGAAATACCTTTGGTCTTTTTGGCCCGGCCATGCCCACAATGCCCACCCTGTGAAGGACCTTCACCATCTAAAAAGTAAGTGGTGGCTGGGACTCGTGGTGCTCTGGTCTGGGTGGAGGGAAAGGGACAGCTCTGTTAGGCAAGTCTCTGGAGTGGGCCATCTTTGCTCGGAGCTGGAGTTCCCCAGCCCCGGCTGAAACACTATCTCCTTTCTGTTTCCGTGGAGGATTTCGCTGGTTGCGGAGAGACCCTGCTTAGTAGTTGACAGTTCAGGAAGCAGCTGGGATCTCTAGACTCTCTGAGGAATTAGTCCTCCTGGCTTGTGCTCTGCTGTGCTGGCTCCACCCTCCCGCTCTCTGCACAGCAGAGATTGGCTCCTTATCACACGCTTCTAAGAGTCAGCTCTGCCCGCTTTGCCTGCATATGCTCTTCTGTTTCAGTTTCTCAGCCTCTCCTCTGTTTTCAGTTGTGCCAGCAGACGACCCGTGGATCTGTTTTCTTTTCCCTGCTAGGAGTTGCTCTACGTAAATCTGGGTAAGGAGGTGGTGTGGATCCAGGGACTGTGCTTGGCATCCAGACGCAGCCCGCGGTGAATTTTGCTACTGTTCTCCCTACACCCAAGACACCTAATGCTTCTCTCCTAATGGCCTGAGTTGAGGCAAAGCTTTCTGTTAGCATGGAGTGCTAATAGGCTTATAGTTTCAGTTTGGAATTTGGTTTGGTTCTGGTCTTAGGTTAACATTAATAACAACATGTATGTTTGTGTGTGTATGTGAGCGCGCGCGTGTGTGTGTGTATTTGAGAGAGAAGAGAGAGAAAAACATCAATTGGTTGCCTTCTCTACGCACCTGATTGGGCGGGGGGGGGGGTCGAACCTGCAACCTGGTTATGTCTGCTGAGTGTGTCCCCAAACCCTAGACCTTTTCGTGTACGGGGTGACGCTCCAACCACTGAACTACCTGGCCAAGGCACTAATAGTCTCTTAATATTGTTTCCGCTAGCAGTTCTTTGGGGTGTGATCAGGATTTAAAAAACTGTTACATAGAAGAAGGGTTTCTTCAGACAAATCTGTGAAAGGCTGCATGAAGTCCAGTTAAACTAGTGTCTTTACCACAGGCCTTGCTGCCCAAAGTCTCTATTGCGCGCATGTGCTCCAGGGGAGGGGTCTGAAGCACAGAGTGGAACAGGGGGTGCACTAGCGTGCTGTGGGCCATGCGTGGGAAGGGCTTTCGTAAACTCTCTGAAACCACGACCTCAGGATGCTTTGCAGCAGTCACAACTGCAAGCACAGGGGACAGCTGTGCCTGGGGTGGCCCCCTGCCTGCGGAGAGCCCTGCAGGGAAGTAGGGGCTATCAGCGCTTTCCAGAGGGACAGGAACCCAGCGCCTCCCACTTCCTGGAAGGCTGGGAAGCCAGCAGGCGAAGCCCAAGATGGTAGGGGCCCTGTCTTGTCTTGTGTGCGTGTATTTTGCAACTTAGGCCCGTTGGTGTGCCTGTGCTCTTTGGGAGGATTCAGCCCTGGCTTCTGAAAGGCTTGTTCCAAATACTAAGAAACACATGCTTAGTCAAAAGCTGCTTTTTAAGAAAAAAGTAGATGTGGGTGCTCCAGGGATGGAAGGGTAAGAAGATGCTGCCCATGAAGGGCAGTCTCACTCAAACCATGGTTCTCACAGCTGTGGAGGAGGAAGTAGAAGTGAAAATAGGCCACTGCTCTGTGTCGGAGATTGGCTTTCTAGAAGCTCATAGACTAGACAGGGAGACAGAGTAAGGCGGTGGTCGGCAAACTGCGGCTCGCGAGCCACATGTGGCTATTTGGCCCCTTGAGTGTGGCTCTTCCACAAAATGCCACGTGTGGGCACCCACGTACAGTGCGATTGAAACTTTGTGGCCCATGCGCAGAAGTCGGTTTTTGGCTCTCAAAAAAGAAATTTCAATGGTTGTACTGTTGATATGTGGCTCTGTTGACTAATGAGTTTGCTGACCACTGGAGTAGGGCAAAAAACCAAAATGCCAGGTAAGGTGGTCGTCCTCCCTGGAGACATCAGGGGAGCTTTGTGGAGGGATGCCACTAGAGTTGAGCCTAGAAGGTCAGTAGGAGTCAAATGGGTGAAAAAGGAAAGAGGATTCCAGGCTGAAAGCAGCATCTCAGCTCGGGAATTAGCAGAGCCAGAGCCATCAGAGTTTGGAGGGGTTGGGGGTTCCACGTGAGCGGTTCCATGTGGGCGTGTCATGCAGCTGCAAGTTGGGGAATGGGGAGAGCAGTCAGCTCCTGGACAAGCTGAAGTCCCAGTAGACCTTGTAATGTCAAAGCAACACTGAACTACTAGCATGCGTGCCTTTGAATCTTGCACTTACTGGACACTAACACCTTTCATTTCATGTCTTTTGGGCTTGTAAGCAATGACCAGAACTTTAAAGCACTTGCTTCTAAAAGCCATTCGACCCTGGCCGGTGGATAGAGCATCAGCCTGCATACTGAGAGGCCCCCGGTTCGATTCCGGTCAAGGGCACATGCCCAGGTTGCGGGCTTGATCCCCAGTAGGAGGTGTGCAGGAGGCAGCCGATCAATGATCTCTCATCATTGATGTTTCTATCTCTCTCCTTCTCTCTTCCTCTCTGAAATCAATAAAAATATATAAAACAAACAAACAAACAAACAAACAAACAAATAAAAGCCTTGTGGTTCTCAGGGAACTTGCTGCCTGGAAGCAAGTCAGCCTTGAGTCTGAGCAGACCTGCTTACTCCATCCTCCTGGCAGCAGGTGTGGGAGCTGTGGGTGTGTTGTGGAGGTGTTGTGATCTTGCTGGCAGAGTCTGTGGTTGCTATGAAACATATAAAGTTACCTTTGAGCTTGTACTGCCATCCCCAGTCTTCTTAGTCTGTGGGCATCACCCTTGTACATGTGACGAATCCAAGGCTTTGAGGATAAATAAATTGCTCAAGTTTATATAGCGCAGAAATAGACTGAGCACGATTTGTACCCAGCTGTGTACATTCCAGAATCTGTCATCTGCACGCTACTTCACGCCCGTGTCAGGTATCCCTGTTCTCCCGTCGGTGGTTTTCCTCTCTTACTTCTTGCATTCCTGTTTCTCCAACAGCCTTACCTGCTGGGCCTCCGTCAGCCTGATCGCATGCTCTCTCCTCTTCTGCTTTGGAGGAGAGTGATGTTTTCTTCCCAGTGTCCCTTTAAAAAAAAAAATTAAAAAAAAAATTTTTTTTTTTTTAAAGGGACACGGGGAGAGAAAGAGAGAGAGAGAGAGAGAGAGAGAGAGAGAGAGATATCAATGATGAGAGAGAATCACTGACCAGCTGCCTCCTGCATGCTCCCCCATTGGGGATCAAGCCTGAAATCTGGGAATATGCCTTTGACCAGAACCGAACCTGGGACCCTTCAGCCCGCAGGCTAACACTCTATCCACTGAACCAAACCAGCTAGGGCCCAGTGTCCCTTCTCAGACCACTGCTGTCTCTCTTATTTTTTTTCCAAGGGTGCTGGACTAGAAGCTTAAAAAAAAAAAAAGTTTGTGTGTGTGTGTGTGTGTGTGTGTGTGTGTGTGTGTAATTGATTCCAGAGAAAAAGGGAGAGGGAGAGAGAGAGAAAGAAACATAAATGATGAAAGAGAACCATTGACCGGCTGTCCCCCTGCATGCCCCCCACTTGGGATGGAGCCCACAACCCCAGCATGTGCCCTGACCAGGAATTGAACCATGACCTCCTGGTTTATGGGTTGATGCTCAACCATTGAGCAACACTGGCCAGGCTTCTGTCTCTTAGTAAGCCCTTGACACATGGCCTCCAAGCTAAGAAACTCTCCCGCAGTTGTGATGTTTTACTGAGGAGGAAGGTAGAAACGGACACACAAGTCACTCCTATCTCCTCCCGAAGTCATTAACAATGCAGAGTAATCTGTGGCTGTGGGCAAAACATGTTGGTTGCAATTTCCCTTGGGTCTGTCTGTCTTTCTGCCCATTCCTTGGGATGGCTAGTTCCTAGGATCCAGTTTTCAGGTATGCAAAATCTACTTTTTCTAGATACTTTGTTTCTTAGGAGCTTCTTAAAAAAAACAAAAAAAAAACACACACACACACACATATATATATATATATATATATATATATATATATATATATATATTACTGATTTCTTACAGAGAGGAAGGGTAAGGGATAGAGAGCTAGAAACGTCGATGAGAGAGAAACATCGACCAGCTGCCTCCTGCACACCCCCTACTGACTGGGGATGTGCCCGCAACCAACGTACATGCCCTTGACCGGAATAAAACCTGGGACCCTTCAGTCCGCAGGCTAACCCTCTATCCACTGAGCCAAACTGGTCTCAGCTGTTCCTTGGGAACTTTGACACCCTTTGGAAGTTTGTCATGTGTGTATGCTTACTCATGAGCAACGCCTTCTCCTTTCCCAGGGAGAGAGAATGATGGCTTGGCGTTGGCCATGAGAGGGCTGATGGCTCTGACTAGGCCTGCTGGAGAGGGAGTGGCAGACAGGAATTTGCCGGGTGTTGCGGAGGGCAGAGCCAGGCACACCCACATGGCTGTGGCACTCACTGACTCACCCACGGAGGACTTTTTCCCTTTCACTTCGCAGGATGCCAGGCTCTGCTGGCGGAGTAGCTGTGTGTGTAGTGGGGTCTCTGAGCAACAGCCTGCCTTTGGGACCGGATTCCCAACCACACGAGGATGCTACCTTCTTCGTTTCCGTCTGTCCTTGTGACTCGAGCCAAATGTCTCTAGGGCTTGGGAGTGAGGTCTGGAGACCCCTAACGTGTTACTGCTCTCTGGAAAAGCCGGGCTGGGAAGATGTGTGAGTGCGGGAGAGCAAGAGAGCCTCCCGCCCAGAAACAGGCCGTGCTGATGGACGCTATCAGAGTTTATCACAGGGAGGTGGTGTCCGAGAGAACTGCCAGCCCTGTGAATAGAAATATTTATTGCTGGTCCCGCCCCCCTCTGCAGCCCCTGCCACGCAGAAATATGACTCTTAACAGGACTTTGTTAGAGCCAGACTAAGGACATGACCGGGAGCAAGATCGAGGAAATGCTGGCTGAGAACATGCTATGGGCATGGCTGATCTGCAGCTCCTTTCATGCATGGGGAATGAAAGGAGGGAACCGAGGGTGATTACATGAATCCATTGGTGGCTAGGAGGCCGGAGAGCAGACTAGGAGGCCGGAGAGCAGAGCTTGGGAACCTCTGATTGGATGGAAAGTAAAATGGACAGACACATACTACTTTTGTACTGGTGTGTAAGAATAGTTAACCTTTGACGTTTACAGTGAGCAGAGGTGGCCTAGAGATGATATGTGTTCCCATGAGGGTGGGTATGTCTCTGAGGGGGCTGGAAAAGAGCGTTACTCTGATATTTCAGAAGTTCCCAGATACCCAAGAACAGAAGGTTCAGGCAAAGATTAACTTTTTACTGAGGAGGTTCTAGGCCTGAGGTGTGACTGCCCACCATGACCTACCCAGTTAGGAATTTATCATCAGGTCATCCTGTGCTGTGACTTTCGGCCACTGAGCTTGTCAGTTACTACATAGCTCCTCGGGATTCTTTTTACCTTTAGTTTCCACACTTCCTACTGTGCACACATTGATGATGAGAGAGACAATGCATGTTTTTAACTAAAGTATGGACCTCTCCTGAGGATCATCCTGCCTCTGTGCCCCCAACCCCCAAACCAAAATCTGTTAAAATTAGGGTCGTCGCGCCAAAACCGGTTTGGCTCAGTGGATAGAACGTTGGCCTGCGGACTGAAAGGTCCCAGGTTCGATTCCAGTCAAGGGCAGGTACCTTGGTTGCGGGCACATCCCCAGTAGGGGGTGTGCAAGAGGCAGCTGGTCGATGATTCTCTCTCGATGTTTCTAACTCTCTATCCCTCTCTCTTGCTCTCTGTAAAAAAAATCAATAAAATATAAAAAAAATAAAATAAAAAATAAAATAAAATTAGGGTCGTTGGGACCCGGACAGCAGGGGAGAGTGGTGGGAGTCGCTGACTTTTGAGTGTCACTTTGCTTTCCTGCTTTCAGTGTTCAGCGCTGGGTCTCAGGTGGGCGATGTGTAGGAGAGAGGTGGGTTTCTGTCATGCTTTTCTGCCTCTCGATTCCTCCTCGTCTCTCTGAGGTGGGGAAGGCAGGGGCTGTCACTGTCCAGCAGGCGAGGCATGGCCAGTGCTAGGCCTGAATTCGGGCGCTGACTTCGCGTCTGAGTGCCCAGGCTCCGTGACAGGGAGCCTGGCCCCAGTGTCCTGAGAAGTCCTGCTTACTCGTGAGATGTGGCTCCTACTTCCCTGGCCCTGCTCTGGTCCTGGAGCCCGTGTTCTCGATGGACCCCCGGCTGGTCCCGCCCCCCTGCAGCCCCTGCCACACACCAGCGTGACGCCAGCCGGTGTCCCGGGCTCGCTGACGGTCTCCTCTCTTCCAGCGCGATGTCCCTGTTCTTCCCTCGATGCAACTCCGTTGTCACCGTCAAGAAGGATAAGAGACACATGGCGGAGGTGAATGCTTCTCCCCTCAAGCACTTTGTCACCGCCAAGAAGAAGATCAATGGCATCTTTGAGCAGCTGGGGGCCTACATCCAAGAGAGCGCCACCTTCCTGGAAGGTGAGACAGGCCTGCTGCGCCGGGCCCACTCCTGTCAGTTTTGATATTTAGGGGCAGGGATTGGGGGTGGACAGAACAGCCCTGCGCCTGGGGGCTCCTGCCCAGATGCAGTGTTACCTCCAGCCACGCTGTGCTCGGAATGGTGTGGAGTTGGGTGTCAGGGAGATCGGCCAGGAAAACAAGGGATCTGTCATTTAAGGATTCCCTGTACGACTTCATTTAATCACGAGGGCTGGGCGGATCTAATCCCCATCTGAAACACAAGCAGGTGGAGGGTGAGGTGCATGGTACCGTGTAAGTGGCACACAGGGCTTTCCCCCGGTGTTTTCCTTGGCCCAGCTCTGCTGCCATTCATCCGGGGCTCTTTCTGGGTGTTTATTTCTGACCAGGGTGTTCTCTGATATTTTTAGACGACAGGACTATGAATAGGAAACTTGCCTCACCGGCACCTTTGTCATTAGTTACTGATTGGAGCCCGGCCTGGAGGCTCAGCACAGACGGGCTGGTTCCCAGGGTCCTGCTCAGTCCGAGTGCCCCTCCAGCCACTGACTTCTCAGGCTCCCTCTCAGGAAGGCACATCCTGACTCCGGGTCCTGGGATGGTCAGGAAAGATGCAGTAGCTGAGTCTTATCTGCCCTTGGTCTCTTCACTTAGGAAAGCAGGGCTCGGGCGAGACCAGGGGTTTTCCGATTCTAGTCTGTGGAACCCTAGAGGTTCAGTGGAAAAGCTCCAGGGACACGCTTGGCTCATGCTTGGTTTACATGTCAGGCTGCTATTTCTCAGAACTATTTCTAGGCCACCTCTGTTCTGAGGATCGTTATTTAAAGGAAAGGAAACATGTCTAGTACTACGGTCTGAATGTTTGTGTCCCCCTAGATTCCCATGTTGGACTCCTAAGGCCCATGTGATGGTGTTAGGAGGTGGGGCCTGTGGGAGGTGATGAGGTCCTGAGGAGGGAGGAGGCCTCATGAATTGAGATTTGTGCTCTTATAAAAAAGACCCCCACGAAGCTCTAGCCCCTTCCACCCAGTAAGGATACGAGAAGTTGGAACCCGAAGAGGGCCCTCACCCACCAGCTGGCATTCCTATCAGTACATTTCCGTTGTGTGTAAGGCGCCCAGTCGGTACTGTGTTACAGCTTGAGTGTCTGAGATTGAGAGTGGACTTATCTATGCCCTGCTCTTAGCATAGGCCTGAGGCAAGAGAAAGTATTTCCTAATATTTGTTAAACTTCAAAATCTGAGTTTTAACGTGATAAGGTTGGTTGTTGACATTATTCCTGTTCGTGACCTGCTTATTTAGCAGTATCTCTGGCGCCTAGCAGTGGCATGCAGCGATGGGGCAGACCAGGCCTCAGTCCTCCCAGAGCCGACTATAACCCTCTGAGTCACTTACTCAGGTGGGCTGTGGGCAGACACGTGCTTAGTGAAGGTTTTTATGAGATGGCATCAGGAGGGGTGTTTCCATGTCTTTCTTTTTTTTTTGATGAAAATATGAGGCCTTTCCTGTTGGTGGACTGGAAGGGAAAGAGCTGGAGAATTCTGGGATTCTGTGTTGGGATTGCCCTGGCTGGGGAGGGAAGAGTTACTGCTCTAGGACTGAGAGTTTGTTGGCCTATTGACTGTCTCTTTTAAATATATTTTATTGATTTTTTTACAGAGAGGAAGGGAGAAATATAGAGAGTTAAAAACATCGATGAAAGAGAAATATTGATCAGCTGCCTCCTGCACACCCCTTACTGGGGATTTGCCCGCATCCAAGGTACAATCGAACCCGGGACTCTTGAGTCCGCAGGCCAATGCTCTATCCACTGAGCCAAACCGGATAGGGCTACTGGCTGCCTCTTTTAATTGTAGCTTTGAAAAGTGGTCAAAATTGTGCCTGGCAGGTAGTGAGAAGTTGGTATTTATTAAGTACTAAACATGAACGTAAATGATGACAGTCAATATTTGAGTATCCGTCATGCACTAGCCATCATTTTTAGCGCTTCTTGTGCTTTTAAAAGTGCTAAAAATGGTGGCTAGTGACGGATACTTGCAGTAGTCATGGGAGGTAGGGACTGTTACCTGCATTTTAAGACCCAGGAAGGTCCATTTGCTTGAGGCCACAAAGCTGGGAAGAGGCGAGAGCAGCAGGTCCTTCCCGCAGGGAGCCAGGTAGTCCGGCCCCGGGAGCCGTGCTGGTCACTGCGCACTGCAGCCACAGCAGGGAGTCGGGACCTCAGCCCAGCGGCAGGGAGCCGCCTCGGTGGCCTCTGTTCCTCCCCGACGCGACGGTGGGACTCCTGAGAGCGGGTGCTGACCCGTTTCCCCTCCCCGCCCCCAGACACCCACAGGAATGCAGAGCTGGACCCCGTTACGACAGAGGAGCAGGTTCTGGACGTCAAAGGCTACCTGTCCAAAGTGCGGGGCATCAGCGAGGTGCTGGCCCGGCGGCACATGAAAGTGGCTTTCTTTGGCCGGTGAGTTTCCGTCCTCACGCCTTTTCCTCCGGGGCTGGCGGGCGGGCGGGTGAGAGAGACACTTTGGGCAGGACCACAGGCTGAGCACCTCACAGTCCTGAGGGCACGAGAGGCTGCCCTGCGGCAGTAGTTACCCTAGGGGTGTCGAACTCAATCAGAGAAGGGGCCAAAATCTAAAATCCAGCCTAAATCGCGGGCCGAATGGTTTACTGAACAGTCATAAACTGTCATTGTGATGGAAACGCAGCGGAGTGCAGTGATGACAGCGCGGTGCGGGCCACATTGCAAGGCCTGGCGGGACGGATTTGGCCCTCGGGCCTTGTGTTTGACACATGTGAGTTACCCGCTGGGCGGACGTGGTGGGGCCTCATGTGAGGAGGAGCACAGGGGGAGAGGAGCAGCACACTCGGCCTTCTGCGGAAGCCAGGGACATCGGGGCCATTCAGCTGGGGTCACTGAGACTGAGGGTCAGTGGTTTCAGTGGAAGGGTGGGTCTCCTTCAGTGGTCCCATCAGTGACGCTGAGAGGCTTGCGGTCAGGGCAGGCCTGGTTAAGGACATAAACCACACCGTGCTGACTCCCCACCGTGTAAGTGCCTTGCATGTTGGTTTGCAGTGATGAGCCAGGAGCACCTCACAGGATAGGACAGGCCTCTGTCCGCGCATTTCCATAAACTCAGCGCCCGCTCTGCCTGTCCGGGCACTGCTGTCACTGCAGACAACAAGGCCTCGGGCCTCCAGGCTGCTAACCTCATTGCGAAAGCCCGAAGTGCAGGTGTCGGTGCCTCGCTGACAGCCCGTGTCCCCTTCCCACAGGACGAGCAACGGGAAGAGCACCGTGATCAATGCCATGCTCTGGGACAAAGTACTGCCCTCCGGGATCGGCCACACCACCAACTGCTTCCTGCGGGTGGAGGGCACAGATGGCCACGAGGCCTTCCTCCTCACGGAGGGCTCGGAGGAGAAGAGGAGCATCAAGGTGCGGTGCTGGGTGGGACTGGGGGCAGGGCCGCGGCCCTGGGCATCCTGGAGGGTGAGTCTGGGCTTAGACCAACTAGCAAGACAGGAGTAACGGCTCCTAGCAGAGGGTGGTGCCTGGTGATGGGTGTGGCGGCCCTCCTCCCTGGCTGTTTAGGAGGAGAGCTGTTCCAGGAAGGGCTGGAACCGGGAACGCCAGGAATGGGAGCCTGCAGGTCCTTGCATATTACCCAGCAGGCCATCCGGCTTTTCTCTTGACCTGAAGAGAATACATGCCTTGTTCTCCTTGGGGGGAAGTTTCCAGAGAGCGATTCCTGCATTTGCTTGCGGGTTCTGACATAACAGCTAGGAGCTGGTACATTTAATTTTCCTGAGAGCCAGCTGCATTCTTGTGTGGGGCCAGATGCGCATTTTGGTTCATAAAGACTTACTACAGAGCACTGCCAGCTTTAGCGCAGTGTCTGAGGGAGAAGCTTGAGGGGGAGTGAAGAATAGTTGGTTCTCCTGACAACTCCCAGCTTTGGCTTTTATGTGTGCAGTGAAAGGAAAGGGGAAGCAAAGCAGTCTCAGGCCACTGTGCCACGCCAGGCAGCACAGGCAGTCTGTCGTGTGGCAGCAGCTACCAGCTGGGCCTGAGCCCTGAACGTCCCTCCCCTCCCCCCATCAGACCGTGAACCAGCTGGCGCATGCCCTCCACCAGGATGAGCAGCTGCATGCCGGCAGCCTGGTGAGTGTGATGTGGCCCAACTCCAAGTGCCCGCTGCTGAAGGATGACCTCGTGCTGATGGACAGGTAAGAGGGAAGGTGCCTGCGTAGGAAGTCTAAACCTAGAGGGCCAGGAGTCCCATTTCTGGATCACCCAAGCCAGTGTCCCCTGGGCCCTGTCTTTGCTCTGCTTATGTATTGGCTCTACCACCTCCCTCTGCCTCTTGGATTCCCTCCGGGGTCTGGTTATGGTATCATTGGCATCATTGCCCTGAAGATGTGCCAGTGATGGCCTGTGGGGAGAAATGGGAGGGGTGACCAAAGCCTCAACCCAATGCTAGTATGTGTCGGGAGGTGGCGTTCGTGTTGTACTTTATTTTTGGGGAAGGAGCACTTTACTTTGTTCCTGCTTTGTGGGCAGGTTGCAACTGTATCAAGAAATACGGTACTGTAGTGCTTACTGGACTCTCATGAATATAACACTTCACCTTTTTAAAAATTATTAATTTTAGAGAAAGAGAAACATCAATTGTTTCCACTTATTTATACATTCTCTGGTTTGTTCTTATATGTGCCCCGATCGGCGATTGAACCTGAAACCCTGGTGTATTGTGGTGACGCTCTAACCAGCGGAGCTACAGGCCAGGGCAGCACGCCACCTTGTTTATCTCCAGAGCAAAATTATAAATCTTGATGTTTTTGTAAAAGTGATAGACGCACGAGGCAGGAAACACACTCGGATTACCTGGAGTGTTATGAAACGAAAAGGAAGGGATGACATTTTACCCCCCCTTTAGCCGTCTCTCCCTTGCTTGGCTGCCTCAGGTCTGCCACAGCAGGAAGAACAGGACCCACGGCCTGTGTGCCTGATATTGGTTTAACCCTGTCACCTCTAGCCCTGGCATCGATGTCACCACAGAGCTGGACAGCTGGATTGACAAGTTTTGCCTGGACGCTGATGTGTTTGTGCTGGTGGCCAACTCGGAGTCTACCCTGATGCAGACGGTAACCCCTCCTCCGCCTTTCCCACGCTCCCAGGGCCTTGGCTGGTGGGGCCCCTCCGCTGAGGCCTTTCCCTCTCCTGCAGGAAAAGCAGTTCTTCCACAAGGTGAGCGAGCGCCTGTCCCGCCCCAACATCTTCATTCTGAACAACCGCTGGGATGCGTCCGCCTCAGAGCCCGAGTACATGGAGGAGGTTGGTGCCAGCAGTGTGGGGACTGCACCCCACATGTGTATGTACCCGGGGCTCCTTTGTGCACTCCCAGGCTGCACCAGGTTCAGCCTTTCCTAAAGGAGTTTCATCACCACAGATTTCCCAAGTGTTCCCTCGCTCACTGTGGGGTCTTCTGCCGCCTTTAAACACTCTCTTCACCTCCCAGTCACTTTCCCGGATCTCTCCACCCTTCAGAGGTTTTCATCCGGGTCTGCAGAGCGTCCCCAGCACGTTAGCTGCGCCTTGTTTGGGGCCTGTGCTCACTTTGGTTCATACAGGATTAATCATCGTAGGACCAGCTCAGCTCTAGGAAGATACCCAGGAAGGAGGCTTAAAAGAGGGACAAAGATAATTGGCTCATGTGTGTGAGATGAAAGGAACAGGAGTCCCAGATTGGTACTAAGGGGTGAAAAGGCGTGCAGTCAGCAGGCTGACATGGGGCAGTGTGACTTGTGAGGTGGATGTAATAGAATTACAGCAGGGATGAAATCTCTCAACATTGAGATGGGCATGTGGCAGATGGCCCCAAGAGGCTGTTGGCATGTGGAAGCTCTAGTAGTAGAACCCTAGACTTCAGAGCCAGACAGGATTGTGTGGGGGACATTTCATAGATAAGGCCTTGGAGGACTCGGCTTGTCAGCATAGAGCCCAGGTGGAAGTTTCTCAACTCCGGTTTCCTTTCATTCTGGGGCACGAAAGTGAGACACTGGTTAGGCCCTCACAAGAGGCACCTTGGGGCATGTGTTGGCATTTCTGTTTATCTACACTAATAAAAGAATAAGATGCAAAATGATCGGACCTTTGTGACACCCACCAGCCAATCAGGAGTGAATATGCAAATCAATGCAACAAAAATGGCAGGTTAATTTGTATATGCAGGCGCAAAGCAGCGGGGGTGGGGTGTTGCACACCGCCCCAGCTGCTTCAGGCCTCTGGGCAGCATGGGAAGGTGGAAAGGCTGCTCCAACCTGAAAGAAGGCTGTGCTGGCAGCCAGGGGAAGGAAGGCCCATTCTTAAACGAATCTCCCTGCATTGGACCTCTAGTTTATCCCTAAAACACCTTTGGCAGGCCATCCCCTAAGGAACTCCCGTGGCCATATTGCTCCTGAGGAGTGTGGTGACTAGAGAGCAGAAATGGTGGGAGACGGTTCACCTGCCCACCTGGTCACACGCACCCCTCTGCTTGGCTCCAGGTGCGGCGGCAGCACATGGAGCGCTGCACCAGCTTCCTGGTGGATGAGCTGGGCGTGGTGGATCGGGGCCAGGCCGGAGACCGCATCTTCTTCGTGTCTGCCAAGGAGGCGCTCAACGCCAGGATCCAGAAGGCCCAGGGCATGCCCGAAGGAGGTGACAGTGAGACCCACTTCCTCCTTTTCGCTAACGTTTGAGGCGTTTGGTCTCATGCTGTGAGCCGAGAGAAAATAGTTCTGAGAAGGATGTGGTGAGAGCAGCCTGAGTGAGGAGCTCTTTGCTCCCCCCAGTGTTTAGCCAAGTGTCGCATTGGCATGGCTTTGTGGGTTTTCACTTTCCTCCCCTGCAGCTATTTCCAGACTAACATGCAGTTCTCCTAGGGGGCGCTCTTGCAGAAGGCTTTCAAGTGAGAATGCTTGAGTTTCAGAATTTTGAGAGGAGGTTTGAGGTGAGTCCTTGATTCTGGTCTCTGGTGCTTCTGGCTTCCCAGCAGTCACCGGCCCTGTCCCGGGCAGTGACACCAGAGCCTGGTCCTGCTGGTGGCCATGTGGCCTCCTCAGCACCTCTTGTCTGTTCCAGGAGTGCATCTCCCAGTCTGCAGTGAAGACCAAATTCGAGCAGCACACGGTCCGGGCCAAGCAGATTGCGGAGGCAGTTCGCCTCATCATGGACTCTCTGCACATCGCGGCTCAAGAGCAGCGGTAAGGACCTGGAGCTCGGGCAGGCCTGGGGAGAGGGGATGCTGGGAAGTGACCGCCACTCCCCTGCTTGGGACGATGGGCCCAGGGGCAGAGCCCTGCCAGCAGAGCCGTCTCTGTGTCCCATGCAGGTGCCCTTCCCAGCCACCAGGCCTTCCTAGAGGTACCCGGAGCAGCCTGGTGAGGGGACCATTGGGGTCTGTCCCACTGGGCCTGTGCAGCATGGGGCTCTGAAATGCCACCTCACAGCTCATGCTGGAGGCCTGGCCAGGAGCTGCCCTGGGCACTACAGCCATGCTCAGAGCCCAAAGCGGAACACATTTTAAAAACAACCTTTTTTTGGAGAGATGTTGAAATATAGGAAGGCACAAAGATTAAAGCACCTTGCTGCTACCACACAGAATTGATAGTCAGTTATGCTTCATATTATTTTTACGTTAAAACTCAGAAAAAATGGAAGTACCTTTGATTCTTCAGCCCCTTGACCCAGTGTCATTCTGCTCAGACCCTCCCCACCATAGGTGACCATGATCATGAATCTGGTGTGTAGTCCTATGATCCATGTAAGAAAAACTTTTTGCATAAACCCTGAAGAACATGCAGAACATACAGCCACAGCGTCATTCTGGTTACTGTGCAGTCTTTCTCTCACTCACCTCTTTGCTTTCATCTGTGGGTACATGTGTTAGGAGCTGTGACTGTTAAACTGCTGGAGAGTATGCCATGTGAATTGAGAATACCTCGTTTTCCCATTGACTGCTTTTTTTTGTCAATTGTCACCAGAGGATATTTTTTCTTTTTTCTTTTTTTTTTTTTTTTTTTTAGAGAGAGAGAGAGGAATGGAGGAGAAGGAAAGAGAGAGACATTGATGTGAGAAAAACACATGATTGGTTGCCTCCTGAAAGGGGCCCCGACCAGGGCCAGGGATCGAGCCTGCAACCGAGGTATGTGCCTTTGACTGAATCGAAATAAGGCCCTCAGCTGGGCTCACACAGGCTTCCCGGCAGTCCCTCTGGCTCCCTTCCTGGTGGAGGGGCCTGGGGCCTGTAACCAGCCCTCTCTCCCAGGGTTTACTGCCTGGAAATGCGCGAGGAGCGGCAGGAGCGGCTGACGTTTATTGACAAACAGTTGGAGCTCTTGGCACAGGACTACAAACTGCGGATCAAGCAGATCACGGAGGAAGTCGAAAGGCAGGTGAGAAACGGGTTCAGACCAGAGCAGAGTCCGGGGTGGAAACGTGGGAAAGCAGACCTCCTCATCCAGAAGGAGCCAGTGGCCTGATCCCAGCGTGCAGAGCCTTCGCCGGGTTCACCGGTCCACTGTGTGGCCCGGGCAGGTCACCTTCTCCAGGGCTTAGTGAGCATTTGGTCAGCCAACCTCTCACGTCCCTTCTACCTCAGAAGCTTTAATGCCACCCCGAGCAGAGGAAACGGCTGGCTTGGGGGGTGGGGGTGGGAGGTGAATAGAAGGATATTGGAGTCTGAGACTCTCCCTAGATGCTCTCCCAGTGCAGATATGGACACGTTCTTTCTCCATCCCCAACGTTTCCTTCTACAGGTGTCGACGGCGATGGCCGAGGAGATCAGGCGCCTCTCCGTGCTGGTGGACGAGTACCAGATGGATTTCCACCCTTCTCCCGTCGTCCTCAAGGTTTATAAGAATGTGAGTCATTAGCAGCCGTGCTCCCATAAGCACCCCTCGATCCTTTTGGCTACTGGGTGGCATCTCTAGCAGCCGTGGTTCAGTCCCTGCTGGTCTGTCAGGACCCCTCAGCCGGGCAGACGGGACCAGGCCTCACCCAGCTCTCCCATGTCAGCTCCCAGGGCGCGGGCTGCCCAGCATCCGTGTCCTTCGGCTCCCAGAGGAAGTCCTGACTGGGTGCCTCTTCCCTCCCCGTCTCGTCTGGTTGCAGGAGCTGCACCGCCACATAGAGGAGGGCCTGGGCCGAAACATGTCGGACCGCTGCTCCACGGCCATCACGGGCTCCCTGCAGACCATGCAGCAGGAGATGATCGGTGAGTGCGGGAAGGCGGCTCGAGGCCAGGCCGCAGGGACCACTTCCCGTCTGTCACCTTGGTGATGAGTCACCTGGATGCCTTTAGGTTCTGGGTGATGTCATGAGTTTGTTCCACATGTAGCCCCGGAGCCATCTTGTGTTATCACACGGGACCGTCCCCGCTGAGTGGCCTGCTCCTTAACCCACGTGAGGCATCATGTCAGCAGGGGGGAGAGCCCAGACCTGCACCCCTGGGAGAGCTGGCCTGTCTGCCCGAGTGTGGCACTCGGGTCCCACAGCCCTCCTCCGGGCCTGGTTTCTGGGCAGAACCATCAGCGTCCTTGGCCATGGCTGCGGGCTCATGTGCCATGCCTCGGCCCTGGTGCGGCACTTGGAGCTGAAGTGCTCTCCCCTTCTCTTCCTGACAGACGGCCTGAAGCCCCTCCTCCCTGCGTCCGTGCGGAGTCAGATGGACATGCTGGTCCCTCGGCAGTGCTTCTCCCTCAGCTACGACCTCAACTGTGACAAGCTGTGTGCTGACTTCCAGGAGGACATCGAGTTCCACTTCTCTCTCGGCTGGACCATGCTGGTGAACAGGTTCCTGGGCCCCAAGAACAGCCGCCGGGCCTTGATGGGCTACAATGACCAGGCACGCGCAGCCCCTCACCCCGGGCGTGCGGGAGGCCCACAGTCCCGGCGGCCCCACGGCCACGCTGACCATTTCCTGAGCACTGATGCTTGTGAAGTTGCAAATGCTAGCTGTATTTTTTTTCCTTTCGTTCGTTATTTATTTTAATATATTTGTATTGATTTCAGAGAGTAAGGGAGAGGGAGAGGTAGAAACATCAGTGATGAGAGAGAATCATTGATCAGCTGCCTTCTGCTTGCCCCCTAAGGATCGCACCCGCAACCAAGGCATGTGTGCCCTTGACCAGAATCCAACCTGGTACACTTCAGTCCACAGGCTGATGCTCTATCTAGGGCTGTATTTTTAAAAATATATATATTTTATTGATTTTTTACAGAAAAGAAGAGAGAAGGATAGAGTTAGAAACACTGATGAGAGAGAATCATCAGTCAGCTGCCTCTTGCACACCCCCTACTGGGGATGTGCCCACAACCAGGGTACATACCCTTGACCGGAATCGAACCTGGGACCTTTTAGTCTGCGGGCCAACACTCTATCCACTGAGCCAAACCGGTTTCGGCATGTTTTTTTTTTTCTTTTTTCTAATGCATATTAAAGTAACCATTATTACTATTAAGTTAAATTAAAGTAAATATTTCTAAGTAACCATTATAATAATATATAACTTAAATCTAGATGACATAAAATATCTCTCCATATGCCATTAAAAATATTTTTCCTCACTTAAGGATATGTTTATTGATTTTAGAGAGAGGGGAAGGAAGAGAGAGAGAAGCATCAATGTGAGAAGGAAGCACCAATGGCTTGCCTCCTGTGTGCGCCCTGACTGGGAACAAACCTGCAGCCTTTGATGGAAGGGATGATGCTCCAACCAACTGAGCCGCCCGGCCGGGGCTCCGTGTTCCGCTGTGAGATTTAGATTTCACACCATCCCTCTGCATTGCACTTCAGTTGTTGCACGTGCTGCTCTTGGTATATATCTCACACTTGGGGAAGCTGAAGCCTTCCCAGGTGGCCACTGCTCACGTTTTGTGGTATCCCACAGTGCTCACCTTGGGGCTAGCAGGTCTGTTATGAAGCTCATTTCCCCCTTTTGGCCTTTTGGGAATTGTTTCCGGACCCCTCGCTTTGAGGGTCCCTGAAGGTTCATTGAATGAGCCTCATTTCGCTTCCCCTTCCTTGTTTCTCTCTTCCAGGTTCAGCGTCCCATCCCACTGACGCCAGCCAACCCCAGCATGCCCCCCCTGCCTCAGGGCTCCCTCGCCCAAGAAGAGCTCATGGTTTCCATGGTCACCGGCCTGGCCTCCCTGACGTCCAGGACCTCCATGGGCATCCTGGTTGTTGGAGGAGTGGTCAGTGACAAGCCCCGGTGGGCGGGTGGGAGGTGGGGGACGGGCTGACTTGGGGCACAGTCCTGTGGTCCCTGCATGGCACGGCTTGTTCACCTCCATCCGAGACTGAGAGCTCTCTTCACTGATCGGAGCTGAGTGTGAGCCTCAGCCCCTTAACATATATTCTTAGTGACCTACATGTCTCACTCCGCTGACATTTAGGGTCGCTCATTCCCATTTGACAGACGGGAAAGTCTGTGACTACCTCGCCAGGCTGTGAGCTCTGGCCCCGTCTGACTCTAAGGCTGTGCTTTTTCCCCTGTGGGGCCTGGGTGTGTGGTGGGCAGAGAAGTGACCCATGAAATGGACAGGCCTGGGTTCTGGAGAGGTGGGTGTGGCCAGGACTTTCTCATTTGTAGGCAAGAAAACCAAGAGCAAAATTGAAAGGGTTTAATACAAAAGAGGCCAAGCCTGCCTTCTTTTAAAAAATATATATTTTTATTGATTTCAGAGAGGAGGGGAGAGGGAGAGAGAGGTAGAAACATCAATGATGAGAGAGAATCATTGATTGGCTGCCTTTTGCATGCCCTCTACTGGGGATCGAGCCTGCAACCCAGGATTGTGCCTTTGACCGGAATCGAACCTGGGACCCTTCAGTCCAAAGGCCAGTACTCTGTCCACTGAGCCAAACCAGCTAGGGCTGCAGGCTGCCTTCTTCATAACTGGGGTCTCCTGTACTTCCTTACTTCCTTTCCCAGGAGACACTGCAGCCAGGATAACTTATGCCTTGAATTTTTTTCTTTTTTTAAACTTACGTTTTTAAAAAATATTTTTTTTATTGCCGAAACCTGTTTGGCTCAATGGATAGAGTGTCGGCCTGCGGACTGAAAGGTCTCAGGTTCGATTCCGGCCAAGGGCATGTACCTTGGTTGCAGGCACATCCCCAGTAGGGGGTGTGCAAGAGGCAGCTGATCGATGATTCTTTCTCATCGATGTTCTAACTCTCTATCCCTCTCTCTTCCTCTCTGTAAAAAAATCAATAAAATATATTTTTAAAAAAATTTTTATTGATTTTTTTTTATTTATTTATTTTTTTAGAGACAGGAAGGGAGAGGGAGGGAGTGAGAGAGAAAAAAAAAGAACATTGATATGATAGGAAACTTGGATCAGCTGTCTCCTGCACGCCCCCTGCTCGAGGATCGAGCCCACAACCGGTCATGTGCCCAGACTGGGAATCTAACCAGCAACCTTTCAGGACAATGCTCAACCAAATGAGCCACACTGGCCATGGCTCTTTCTTTTCTTCCTTTTTTATTTACTTATTGATTTTAAGAGCATGTGCATGAGAGAAACATTGATTTGTTCCACTTTTTTATGTATTGGTTGATTCTTGTATGTGCCCCGATTGGTGATCAAACCACAACCTTGGTGTATGGAAATGACACTGCAACCCACTGAGCTACCCAGTCAGGGTTACCTTGAATTTTCTTGATGATGTGGGCGAGCTGCTCTATATGGACATTTGATTTGTAGAAACGGTGGCTGAATGTAACAAACATAATTGCCTTCTAACCTGTAAGACCAGGTGAGACAGCCGAGGCCCCTCTCCCTCCACCTGCAGAGGCACATGTTCTGTTTCTTTCACAGAGGTGACCTGGCCGAGGGTCATTGGCTTAGACACTGGCCCTTGATGGCTATGTAACCCTTTTATAACATCTCGTTTTACCCAAAAAACCTGTGAATTGGTGAAGACCGTTATGCTGGTTTTAGGGGAATAGGTGTACCGAAACAGCCAGGATGGCAGGCAGCACTGGGGCTCGATTTTCGGCTCCAAGCCCAGCGCTCTTTGAGTGTAGCCACACTGCCTTGAAGCAGAGTGCTACAGACAGGACAAAAAGGAGCCGTCTGCCGAGGAACGAGGTGTGGAATGTGACTTGCCAGTGTCAGCAGAGTCAGAATTCTGTGTGCCGCCCGGCTGGATGGCTCAGCTGGTTTAGCTGGTCCTGTGGACCGAAAGGTTTCCAGTTCTGCTCCTAGTCAAGGCAAATACCGAGGTTGTGGGATCAGTCCGGGTCAGGGCACATACGGAAGGCAAAGAGTTTCTCTCTCATGTTGATATTTCTCTTTCTCCTTTCCTCTCTGTAAGCAAGTTCTCAGGTGAGGATTTAAAAAAAAAATTCCGTGTGCCTGGATCTGTACCCCAACCCACTGTTTTGCGTAAATCATATATGCAAACACCAAGTTTCCCTTATTTAATTTAATTTATTTTTGGATAATCCTCACTTGAGGATATTTTTCCATTGATTTTTAGAGAGGGTGGAAAGAAGCGGGAGAGACAGAGAGAATGAAACGTTGATGTGAGAAAGAAACATTGATTGGTTGCCTTCCACACACGCCCTGACCAGGGCTGGGGATCAAGCCTGCAACTTAGGTACATGAATCCAACCCGGGACTCTTCAGTCTACAGGCCAGTGTTCCATTTACTGAGCCAAACCGGCTCGGACCTTTATTTTAAACTTTAGCTGGCCCCTGCTCTTTGGGCCTCAGTGGGATTAAAGGACGCGTTGAAAGAGGTGTTTTGAGTCGGGGAAAGGCTCCTTGCCTGGGGCTCTCGGGAAAGTCCTGGCAGGGTCGGGCTGAGAGGATGGCGGCATGGCCTCAGCTGACAGTTGTGCCTCTGCAGGTGTGGAAGGCGGTGGGCTGGCGGCTCATCGCCCTGTCCTTCGGACTCTACGGCCTCCTCTATGTCTACGAGCGTCTGACCTGGACCACCAAGGCCAAGGAGAGGGCCTTCAAGCGCCAGTTCGTGGAATATGCCAGCGAGAAGCTGCAGCTCATCATCAGCTACACCGGCTCCAACTGCAGCCACCAAGTCCAGCAGTGAGTGGCCGGCAGCCCTGCGCCAGCGCCAGCTCCCGCAGCTCAGGATTCCCTCTGGGTCCCCTTCCAACCTGGAAACCATGGGGTCCTGAGCACCATCTGACCCTGACCTTCCGCTGTGGGGTGCTACCTTGCAGCCGGGGATGGGGATAGCATCTCTCCAGGGGTACCTGTGTCCTGGCCTGGGACCAAGTAAGATGAGGGACATTACTTTAAAGGTTGCCTTAGAGCACATGTGTCAAACACAAGGCCCGCGGGCCAAATCCGTCCCGCCAGGCCTTGCAGTGTGGCCCGCACCGCGCTGTCATCACTGCACTCCGCTGCGTTTCCATCACAATGACAATTTATGACTGTTCAGTAAACCATTCGGCCCGCGATTTAGGCTGGATTTTAGATTTTGGCCCCTTCTCTGATTGAGTTCGACACCCCTACCTTAGAGGCTTGCATTCTGGATGCAGCCTTGCAGTTCTAAGGCACATGCTCATTCTTCACGGCACAACTCTGGTCAGGGGCGAGCGGATCGCTGCGTCTGGTGGTGAGTGAGTGCCAGCTGCCGTGTGGCAGGCCCTTTGCTAGGCATTGGCTCCTCCAACCCTTTAGAGGCAGGCATTTTTCTGGGCGTTTGCTTTTTTGAAATGAAGAAATGGAGATTTGAAGAGGAGTCACTTGTCCCCGGTCACATAGCAGCAGAGCCAAGATCTGAATCCTGGTCTCAGGCTCTGGGTGCCCTGCACTGCTGGTCCCTCACGGTGGTGGCAGTGAGTGTGCGTGCTGGCGGTGAGGTGCAGGACTCAGCACGGGGTAGGGAGGATTCTACCGAACCAGGCCTGGCGCCGGGCGGAGCTGCCAGCGGGTGACAGGCCTGGCGGCTGCCCTCCTCTGGGTGGGCAGGATTTAGTCACCAGCTTCGTTCTGTAAAACAGCCACTTTGCCCCGTTGATCCCGGCTCTCCTCCTAGGGAACTGTCTGGGACGTTTGCTCATTTGTGCCAGCAAGTGGATGTCACCCGGGAGAACCTGGAGCAGGAGATTGCTGCCATGAACCAGAAAATCGAGGTTCTGGTTTCACTTCAGAGCAAAGCCAAGCTGCTCAGGTGAGGAGGCCTGGACGGGGAGGCGTGGGCCGTAGTGTGTGACATGAACACACATCTCCTGGCGGGGATTTAGCTTGTTCCCTGTAAGACATTTGCCCAGCATTTGAGATGCCAGGTGTGGTGCCAGCTTTGTCCCCCAGGCACTGGCAGTGATGGCTGTGGTGGCAGCAGAGGAGCCAGGTGGTGTAGGTTGGGGCTGTAGTGTTACAGCTCACTGGCACCTTCTCAGCTGCAGCATCTCGGACGCTTGACATGAGCTGCTCTGCTCAGTGTTCAGCATCCTTTTCTGTCCACTGTGTGCTGTGGACACTGGGCTAGGCCCCCGCCCACATTTTAGTGTTTCTCTCTGAGCTCACGAAGGGGGAAGCCAGTATTTTACCCACAGGCAAGCTGTTAGGTCACAGGTAATTGGCAGGAATCAGTTGGGAGCCCACATCTGCGCAGGGTAAGTCGAAACAGAGTTTGCTGGAAAGAATATTGACCTGAGGAGCCAGGGGTCCAGGGTTCTGGTCCAGGCATTCGTGTTCTGGCCATTCACTGAGTTTCGTGCGCCTCACTGTTTCCATCTGTAAATAGTCAGGTTTCATGACACAGCCACAGAGCTGAATGTGTGTGCTCAGCCTGATAGAGCGTCAGTTCATGGGGGACCTTGTACTTCCTGCCTTTGCCCCTGGGGGGCAGCACCCCGGGAGCTTTGTCTTTGGTCACAGGCTCCAACCCAGGGAAGTAGACTTCCCCTCCCCTGACTGTGTCCGTGTGCCCTCCCGCCCACCCCTGAGGCAGCCATTTTCCAGGGACGCACTTATCCCTTGGGAGCTAGCAGGCGCATGTGGGGAGCGTCTGCTGCTTGTCGGCCACTGGGGGCAGGATGAACGGAAATGGACAGGCAGGGAGGCAGAGTTCCCACCAGTTCAGGGCCTGGCCTGTGGTCCCAGGGTGAAGCAGATAACAGCTTGCAGCTTGGAAAGTCTCATTTTCCTTGTGTGTAAGAAGGGGTTTTTGGAGGGGTTTGTGCCAAGAACAGGGCTTGGCATATAATGCTAACATTACCTATTATTATCAGCTATTACCACTGCCAAATCCTTTCTCTGCAGGAATAAAGGTGGCTGGATGGACAGTGAACTCAACATGTTCATGCACCAGTACCTGCAGCCCAGCAGATAGTGCAGCTGGAGCGGAGCCGGCGTGGAGAAGGCAGTGCCAGCCGCGGGGGCGCCCCAGGGCTGCTCCTGGCCGGCCGCCGCCGTGAGAACGGAAGCACCAGTGTCTCGCCGTTTTGAGCCCTTAAACACTAGTCGCTTTTCCCCCTCCTTCGCCTGCTGCTGCAGGGAGATTTTTCCGGCTCACACCCTAGAGGAGACTTTTTTGACACCGAGGAATCAAGTGGAGTCTCTGCTTTGTCAGAGACACTTGTCTGAGCATCATTGGGTGCTTGTAAGGCCCTGGCTCCCAGCCTCACCGCATGCCTGCTCGGAGCCTGCACACCCTCCTCCCGCCAACACAGACGCCGGCCCAGCGCGCCTGCAGAGAAGGGCCACTCTAGGGGCGGCCTGGACTTTCTCCCCGGATCGCATCGATACGGTTCTGTCCCGGAAGGACTTGGCTTGTGTCAGTCGGTCCTTCAGCTTCTGTGCTTTGTCCGCGCAGCGCTCTCGGCACGCGCTGATGGCGGGGCTCAGGGCGCACCACGTCCTGGGTTTTGGGTGAGGTGGCCTGTGCCACGAGGGGGAGGAGGATGCTGCACAGGCAGTTTGATCGCGGTGGTGAGAATAGTTTAGGGGAGCTTGTGTGTGGAGGGCGGCTGTTACCGTGATCAGGAGGGACGTGCCTCCCTGCTCTTCGTTGTCAACCTTGTCCGGTCCTTGGCCTGCGTGGTCTGGTTTTATTGTTAGTGAGAGGGGGTTCGGTCCAGGTTGTTAAAGGATGTGGCAGAAGGAAAGACGTGGCAGGAAGGGGGCCTTGGCGGCAGGCTGGGGGCGTGGGCCCCTTTCAGGACAGCCGGAGAAGATGGAGTCGGGGCAGAGCAAGGCCCTCCGTTAGACCTCACTCTGAGGGCCCACGGGGTCTGAGAGTCACCCCACTAGCTTGATTGCACCCCCATTGTGCCCCTTAAAGAGACATGTCCCACCCCCAGCTTGGCCCACCTGCCTCGGCCAAGCATCCTCTGGGCTGAGTCTGCGGTGACGCTGCAGCTGGCCAAGGACAGTGGGAACCCGGGGCCCGCTCTGCACTCCCACCACACACGTGGCCGCCTCCTGTTAACTTCGAGACGTGCTTTCCACTGTTAGCGGTCAAAGTGGGGGCAGGTTCCTGTCTCCAGAGTGTTAACTGTCTGGGCAGGCCGCCTTCGGGGACAGCCTTTGCAGTGCAGGTCAAAGAACGTGCTAGAAAGAAGCAGCCCCTCTTCCAGCAGAGGCAGGGCTTGTCCCGCCCTTTTGAGTCTACGTGCTCTCTGGTGTCAGGATGTGCGTTGATGGTCTCTGCACACGTGGGCGGCCACGCAGGGGCATCCCCTCCAGGGCCCACTGGTCTCAAGCCGCAGCCTGCACTGTCGTGTGGAACAAAGCGGTAGGAGGGCTGCACGGTGTCACTCGCAGCGTGCCAGTGAACCAGTGTCCCACAATCCCGATGAGTTTGTGCTTTGGGGGGGGAATTATTTAATATAACCACACAGAATTTTTTTAAATGTAGCCCCTGGGCAGTGAATGAAATTTTGAACCTGTACCATAAGTAAGATGAAATACGTACCACCCAGGGGGACTTTCTGAAGGAAGTGTGGCAGAGACACTGAATGTAATGCTGCTGACTGTTCTCTGTGTTTATGTTCATTTGCTGGAGTGAGACGTGCTTGGCAGTGAGTTTTTTCTCTGATGTATTTAAGGTGATATATTTGCCTGAATTGCTCCTGTATCATTGCTGATCATATTGGAAATGAAAATAAAGCTAGTTGGGAACCCTTTGTGGGATCTTCTCAGTTTACTATTCTTCTGCAAACTCCCTCTGACATAACTGAGTCTGCAGGTTAATATTTTTAAAAATATATGTTACTGATTTTTTTTTTTTACAGAGAGGAAGGGAGAGGGAGAGAGAGTTAGAAACATTGATGAGAGAGAAACCATTGATCAGCTGCCTCCTGCACAACCCCTGCTGGGGATGTGCCTGAAACGAAGGTACATGCCCTTGACTGGAATAGAACCTGGGACCCTTCAGTCCACAGGCCGACACTCTATCCACTGAGCCAAACCGGTTAGGGCTGCAGCTTAGTATATAAAATGACCTTGCCCTGGCCAGCGTGCACAGTGATGAGAGAATCGGCCTGAGCACCAAAGGGTCAAGGGTTGGATTCCTGGTCAAGGACACATACCTGGGTTGCAGGTTCGATCCCCATGAGATGAGGAGGCGACCAATTGATGTATCTCTCTGCCTCTCCCCCTTCCTCCCTTCTACTCTCTCTAAAAATCAACGAAAAAAATTCTCTTGGGTGAGGATTAACAATAATAAGCCTATCTAATAAAAGAGTAATATGCAAAACAACTGCCACTCTGTCACAAAGATGGCAGCACCCATAGCCACAAGATGGTGGCGCCCAGTCCTCTCAGCCCTGCGGGAATCCCCAGCCCCAGGGGAAGAGGTGGGGGTTGGGGGGGAGGAGGGGGAGGGCTGCTGAGAGCAGGCAACGTGTGCGGCCTGGTGGAATGCTTGCTTCGTCGCCCTGGCAATGACGCAAGTGTTCCCCGCCTGGCCAGTGGCCTCTGGGCCACGGAGAGCCTCTAGGCCGCGGGCGCAGAGCAGCCAGGCCCCGCAGAGAGCTACTGGCGCACAGATTTGTGCGCAGGGCCACTAGTGATAATAAAAAATAAAATGACCTTCACCTGGGAAGTTCCCTCTGTAATCGGCCTGCGGTTCCTCCTCACTCTTGGAAGGAATCTGGTCCTCTCAGAAGAGCAAAGGCGTAGCTTATCTCTAAGGACCAGGAAATCGAGTGATTTCTTTACAGATTTCACTATAACTCTGAGCCGCTCATTTTTCACTTAAGTCATGACTCAGCCTGGCCTGCCCTAGCTTGCTTTCTGAGAACTTGGTTGTGACCTTTTCTCTTTCTGTGAAGGGCCCTCTGCAGTGGCTGGGCATGACGAGTCAGTTTCCTGGGCCGCCACCCGGCCCCTGGGCAGTGCCCCCCACCGCCTGCTCCGCTGGTCCCTCTCAGAGGCCACGGCGTGGGAGGTGGCAGCAGCCTCCACTGCCAGGCTCCAGGCCACTAACGGGGCATCGTCCTGGACTCCACTGTCACATGCTGCATCTAAACCCGGCAGTTTTTCTTTTTCTTCCTTTTTGAAATGAATTTATTGGGGGTGACATTGGTGCATAAAATTATACAGGCTTCAGGGGTACAGTTCTATAAAATATATCACCTGTACAGTGTATGTTCATCACCCCAAGTCTTCCCACCCCCTGCCCCTCTGCTGATTGCCATGCTGTTGTCTTTGTCTATAACGTGCTAGTTTCTGACTTCAAAATACACGTAGCACTTCCCTCCACACAAAAATACCACTCCTGGAACCCAGGTTACTGCCCCCTGACTCGGCCCCTCCTCCCACCCTGGCCCTCTTGTGTTTGTGTCCCGGCAGCAGCCAGGGGGACCTTGATAGAGATTTGAAATAGAGCTCAGACCACGCTGCTTCTCTGCCGGAAACACTGCTCTGGTTCCCTGCTCCGCCTAGAAGGAGGCCCGAGACCCTGCAAGTGGCCTTTTGGGGTCTGCGCTGCCTCCCACGCCCCTCCCTTCTCGGCTGCCTCCGCTTCAGCCACACCGGCTCCTTGCCGTTTCTTGGAATTGCTCAGCACGCTTCTCCTTCATGGCCTCTGCCCTCCCTGACCCTCGCCTGTTCTTCTGGATCTCACCAGAGCTTACTAACTCCTCTATGTCCAAGGCTGCTGAAGTGTTACCTCATGGGGTTTACCCAGAACACCTTCCTCAAAGTCTTCTCTCCTTCCCCGATCCCCAGCACTTCGGAGTACTCTCACCCCACAACATGCGTAACATGTTTTTCTAAGTAGTTATCCTCTAACATGTAATGTACATGCCTCTCCCTGCTAGAACGTACGTTCTGAAGGGTAGATGTTTTTTTTGACTGATGTGTGCCACGCATCTAAACCAGTGCCTGGCTCAGAACCAGAACTCGGTGCACACTTGCTGAGCTAACGAATCCTGTCCTGGGCACAGTCCACCCATTTATCAGCTCTCTCGTGTGGGGGACACAGCAAAGGCTACTGGAAACTTCTAGAGGTTTCTAGAGGCTTCCAAGGGTTCCAATCTCAGCAGCTGGGGTGATGGAGTCCAAGACCTAGTTTCCCCGAAGCCGGGGGCTTTCCAACTGCTCATCCTGACCCACAGGTAGGTACACAGCATGATCCTGGACACACGTACGTGTAGGTGAAACCAAACATTTTAAACGAGTCATTTCTCTGCCTGCAACCCACAGGCATTTTCTCCTGAAGCCGCTGTTTGCAACCCTGCTCCCTGTTCACTAGCTACTCCTGGGTGACCACGTGCATTTGAGAAGAGTGTCTACACTCTGTTGCCTCACTCACCACCATCTCGTTCGTCCTTCCCAGCAAGGCAAGGCTCATGCCTGTGGTCTCGAAAGCTACTCATCTGTCCACCGTGAGTTTTGGGGAATCTGAGAGGCAGGGAAGTGCTGGCCCCCCAGGACCAGTGTCCCCATTTAATCACAGAGAGGTTCCACCCAGGTTTCAAGGCTGGGCCCTCCTCACAGATGCCAGCTACATTCACTCTGTCCTCCAGAGCTGCCTTCCGCCTCTGAGTCAGGCTCTGAGTGAGGTTGAGACCAACGGCAGCTTTTGCTGAGGGCTCACCATGCGTCACGTTTGTATGCGTGAACCCAGGCGCTGCAAAACCCCAAGCGGTTTGCCTCTAGAAATGAGAAAGCCCGTTAGTTCAGCAGAGCGTTTGAGAGAACATGATGTGCCAGCAAGAACGATTCTGAGCGCTGGAGGTTCAGCAGTGGGTGAGGTGGACAAAAATCCCTGCCTTTATGGAGCTTGCGTGCTAGTGGGGGAAGGCAGGCAACAGGCAAAAACCCCCAGTGAAAGACACAATATCAGAAGGTGAGGGCTATTATGAGGCAGGGAAGGGGGGGGAGGGTGTAACGGTAGTGTGGGAATGGGGTGAGTGTCACTGAGAAGACATCTGAATAAAACCCTGTAGATGTCTGGACAGGGCATTCCAGGCAGAGGGACCAGCATGTGCAAAGGCCCTGAGGTGGGAGCATGTCCAATATCTTCAAGGAACAAAATGAGACTCTGGAGCAGAGAGGGAGATGGGGATTAGTTTGGGTAGCAGATAAGGTGTGAAAAGGAATCAGGGTGGACTGGGGTCTGGCAGGCCACTGTGAGGACTGACTCTTGCTGTGAGTGCGGACAGGCCACTGGAGCAGAGGAGAGACATGAGGGTCTCTCCTCAACCATTGAGCCACGCCAGCCAGGCAAGTGTCATTTGTATCCCACAATTTGTTTATTCACTCACCTCTTGACAGATATTTGCATTTACGATATAGCTGCTGTGAGCATTCATATGCAAGTCTTTATATGGACAATTTTTTCCCCTTGCTTAAATGCCTACGAGTTGCTTATGAGGTTCATCTATGTTGTAGCATGTGCCAGTACTTTCTTCCTTTTTTAGTGATAGTTCCCATTGGTATGGATATACCAAATTTAGTTTACCCATTTGTGAGTTGATGGACATTTAAATTATTTCCTTTTTTATGTGTGGCTATTATGAATAATGCTGCCAGGAGCATTCATGCACAAGTCTCTGTGTGGATGTCCTTACTGCCCAGAGAACCTTCTCCTCACGGGATGCCGACCAAGGTAACCCCTGCGATAAGTCCTCTTGTGATGGGGCCAGGTCGGGGTAGTGATCTCAATCCCACCTGGAAAGCGCCAATACCAGGAGTCCCTGAGGTTTCAGGTTCAGTCTCCCGTTGGGACACATACAAGAAGCAATGAGTGCATTAATAAGTGGACCAACAAATCAATGCTTCTCTCTCTCTTAATAAATTAAAAAAACAACAACACCCACACACCTTATAGAGTATTTATGAGGCTGGGAAAATACCTGGTGAATAGTAGGCACTCTATTTAAATTTACTTATATTTTATAGACTGTATCCACTTCTTAACCTGCTCCTCCAAGTAGGGCCCCCTCTTAATTCTAACCTGCCTCCCACTGCATAGGAACGATAAATGCTTTAAAGAACGGATGAAAGGCCTGGCCAGTGTGACTCAGTGGTTGAGCTTTGATTTATCCACCAGGAGGTCACGTTTTTTTTTTTTTTTTTTTTTTTTTTAAAATATATATTTTATTGTTTTTTTTACAGAAATTTAAAAACATCAATCAGCTGCCTCCTGCACACCCCCCACTGGGGATGTGCCCACAACCAAAGTACATGCCCTTGACCTGGGACCCTTCAGTCCACAGGACTATGTGCAATCCACTGAGCCAAACCAGCTAGGGCAGGAGGTCACGGTTTGATTCCTGATCAGGGCACATGCTCGGTTCAGGGATGGATCCCCAGTAGGGGACGTGCAAGAGGCAGCCGATCAATGATTGATTATTATTGATGTTTCTATCTCTCTCCCTATCCCTTCCTCTCTGAAATCAATAAAAAATGTATTTGAAAGAAAAAGTATGAAAGAGCTCTAGCTGGTTTGGCTCAGTGACTACAGTGTCAGCCTGAAGACTGAAGGGTCCCTGGTTCTATTCTGGTCAAGGGCACATGCCTGGGTTGCAGGCTCAGTACCCAGTAAGGGGCGTGCAGGAGGCAGCCGATCAATGATCCTCTCTCATCATTGATGTTTCTCCCTCTCCCTCCCCCTTCTTCTGTGAAATAAATAAAAACATATTTAAAAAAAAGAAAAAGTATGAAAGAATGAT